AAAGTATAATTTACATCTATAACTTTTAATAGATTTACACATGCTTAGTATATATCGGTTCATAAGTGTATTTTCAACAGCTACATCTTAAATCACTAACATCTACAATTTTCTACACTCGTAAAATTATTTTCTGACCGCAAATGCCAAATTGAGTGCTGCAGCTGCTGAATGCAGAGGGAAGCAGAAGTAGTCAAAGAATTAGAGCAAATTGAGGCAGAAGCAATAGGAATGTGCTATTTCCGTATTCGGTTGGCATCGTTCAAATGTGTTTTGTCTATGCAACATATGTATGTATGTATATATACATCCCACTAGAACTTGAAGGGAGATCTCCCTATGTGAGGAATAAAAGAGTACTCCCCTTAACCTGATTTCTGAGCAATAAGAGAGATTTGTCGGTTTTGTACTCCTTTATTACTCGTTTAGGAGTCAAATAAGAGATCTCCTAAGCGAGCGACGAAATAATGCTCCCTGAGGCATGATTTGGGAGCAGTAAACGAGATTTCTCGGTTTTGTACTCCTGTATTGCTCGTTTAGGAGCTTAATGAGAGATCTCCTAAGCGAGCAATTAAAGAATGCTCCCTGAGGCATGATTTGGGAGCAATAAGCGAGATTTGTCGGTTTTGTACTCCGTTATTACTCGCTTAGGAGCAAAAAGTGATGTCTCCTAAGCGAGAAATCCAAGAGTCTTCTTTTTGATTGATAGGAGAGCAATACGCACCTCGCCCAAAAGAAATTTGTGTTTTCGAAAAAATTTATCATACAAAAAAAAAATAACAGAAAATAATTCTTGTAGAAGCATAAGGAGCACACAATAATTTAATTTGGATAGCACACAGATTTTAATAAAAGTCCGTTGGTATGCACTTCAATTTTTGTTTAAATATATTAAGTATGTATTGTATTACTTGTAAATGCAACCTTAAATACTTTTCAGATTGCGCAAATTAGTGTCAGCATTTAAGTGTGACCCCCGGCTTTAAACATCGCATGGGTGACAAAGATGTCAGATAAGCAAAGTCACCTTCACAATTTCCCCGCTTGGTGGATTCCTGAACTGGCAAGCATCCTTGACACCCAGGAAATCATATAGGAGTACATACTTATATGTGCATATAGGTGCATATAATTCAAATCTTATCTTACCGTTTTGTTATTATTATGTTTTAATTTCATATGATTTCTCTGCAATATATTTCTAAAATTAAGCAATTATGTAAGACGTATCATTTATGCTTTATTTTTAAGATCTTGTAATACTGCACAAATGCATGTGATTAAAAAGTTAAATACAAAAATTTTATAAATAGCAAAATCCATTTGGCTAATGTAAAATATTCGTTATCATTGCTCTCTTATTACTCCTATAGGAGGCTTTCGGGATGCCTCTTATGGGAGCACTCCCTTATTGCTCGTTCGGGAGGTATATGGGATGTTTTCTATGTGCACTCCCTTGTTGTCTTTTTGGGAGGTTTCTGGGAGGTAACTATGGGAGTACTCCCGTATTGCTCTATTAGGAGGTTTGTGGGATGATAATTCTGTGTGTGCTCCCCGATTGCTCGTTTAGGAGGTAAAAGGGATTACTCCCTCTCCTAGGACATCCAATGTTAAAGGGAGTATACAAAATTACATGCTTATACACAGAAGCATAGGGAGCAATGGGGAGTATTCGTATACTCCCAAGGGAGTACTCACCGAGCAATCGTACGATGCTCCCAAGTTCTACTGGGATGATAACAGTGAAATACACACACAAAAATACATATATTTATGCACTTTAGGGTGATCCAAAAAGATGTAAAATCGGTATTTTAATGCTCTCACACCCAAGAATTTTTCTATATCCAAAAAATATACCTCTGTTTTTTATTTTGAAATCAAAAAATATTTAGAGGTCGCTCAAAGCGCTTTCCATGTATTTTGTATGGGAAAAAACAATTTTTCCGTAGAAATGTTATGGAATACTTGAAAATCAATATTTTTCGATCGGAAAACTCTTGTTCTATTCACGAGACTTCCAATAATAATACCCAATTATTTGTTTAACTGTATTTCAATACTAACGATTTTTTATAAGTCCCCCCATTGCAATTTCTGGAGTTTTTGGCGGACCTATAAGATAAAGTTACTAAGAAAAAATTGGATTCAACAATTTTTATTGAGCTTGAGGCCGTTGTTCATGAAAAATTGGTTAAACAAATAATTGGATATTATTACTGGGAGTTTCCTGAAAAGAAACAGAACTTTCCGATCGGAAAATACTGATTTTCAAGAATTCTATACTATTTCTACCAACAGTTGTTTATTTCCCATATAAAATACATGAACAACTTTAAGCACGTTGAGCGACCTTTTGAATATTTTTTGACGTCAAAATAAAAAGTAGTGGTACATTTTTTCGGTATAGAACCTAGGGACTGAGAGCATAAAAATTCCGACTTTACTTTTCAACATGCATTTTTGGATCACCCTGATGTACATACATGTGTATATGCATATCATAGTCGGAGCCTTCACGCATAAATCGTGCGAACATTTTCGATTACAGCTCTTTCATTGTGCAGTTGGCAAGGCGAGTTGTTGTAGTCTTGGTTAATACGTGTAGATAGTGATCCAAGTCTCTCTCTAATCCCCCCTCCCGGTACTAGTGGTAACAGAATATGCAGCAACGACAGCAGCACATTGGTTTGTGGCATTTATCGCCTCGGCTGGTTGCTTTTGCTTCGCTGGCGGTTCTTGCAGTGAATAAATTTTGTGCCTTGCAAGTCTTCAATATCCATATGTACTTATATGGGCAAAATCTACAAGACAGCTACACTTAAAAAAAAAACGTAAATTTTTTTTTAATATTGGTGAGCGCGCCTATGTTGCGTAAATGATTCTATTCGCAATGTCTTAGTAAACCGATAAATATTAATGTAGTTCATTTTCATCAAGTGCTTCAAAAGTTAGACGAGGAACAAGCACCTAGATCGGTCAAATAGAATATGTTAGGTTCAAATTACGCTTTGACAGTTTTATATTTGAGCAGGGATTTTAAAAGTTGGAACTCACTTAATTAAGACCTTCTAAATTCAATGACATTCCCCGTTTTGGCAGCTTGGCTTTGGTTTTCGGGATAAACGGCACATGAAAGTTATTTTACGAAAATCCTGCACATGACTATATTTTAATACTTCCTTAACTAATTCTAAAAATAATCGAAATAGGCTCGCTTTAACAAATATCTTCCAAGCAACTGATTATTCAGATATGCGGTTTGGCCTCCAAATTCCTCATAAAGACAAAGTTAACAGTGTTCATGATGAATAAAAGTAGTACTTAATTTCTTACCTGTTTAACAGAAGGAGTTATAACGCACAACAACGTCTCCCAAAACCAATTGTGTGGGAGCTGCGTTATAAAGTGTACCCATTTCGATGATTTTATAGAATAGTTAAGGTAACATTAAAAAACTGGCATGTGCAAAATTTTAGTAAAGTAACTGCAAAACTCTGGGATTTATTTATAAAATTGTTAAAATTTAAGCAAAGTTTAAAGTACCGCTATCTCGAAAAGTGGAGCTAAAGATACCCACATTGCAATATTCAATTTGTCTTATTAATTAAAATTTAATTGATATTTTCGGGTTTCAGCTTTTTTTCTCTTGACAGCCATATTGGAATATTTTCTTTATCTTATCAATTTACTTAAACTGCAATTTTTGAACAGGTGGCAATACATCGGTGAAAACTGCATGCAACTCAATGTATTTGATTTCGAGTGATGCGCGTACAAACATACAGACAGACAGAGAAAAATGTTTGATTTGTACCCACCATTTTATTATTTTTTTTTTAATCTATAATGTACAGATATTTGCCTGTTACAATTTTATAATATAGATGATCCTGTGCTTTAACGACACAATTCAAAATTCAAAAACCAAAGACTCTTACTACTGTTAAGTGGCTCTTGTCTCTAGTCCTTGTCTAATCCATTTCCATCCCTTAATAAAGTATGCACTAAGGATTTCTGAAGTAAGTACAAAAGATTTGACATGGATTCGGCAAGGATTAGACACAAACGCCACTAAACAGTAGTAATAGTATTTTGAATTTTGAATTGCGTCGATTGCACAGCAACATCGATATGTATAGATGAAAGTCTTTTACTTTACAGGTGTACGTGGCGTATGAGTAACATTCTCTCCTGCTAATTTTTCATACACAAAATCTTTGCGCATTTATATTTGACCATTCATTCCTTCTTTATTTACACATCCATTAGTATCTTGTTTTTTTGTAACAGAACAGTCTTTAACACAAATGCAAAAATTTACACAGAATCTGTTTTTTTAGAATTTTTGTCCTGTTAAAATATCATATATAATATTAAAGTAAAACTTTTTATTTTATTTTTAAATCGCTAAAACTCGACTCAGCGAGTTTATGAATTTATATAAATATGTTTCAATAACATTTCAAATTTGACAGATTTTAAGTAAAATATTTGCTATTAAAAAAATATATATGTTTTCAAACCCTGGCAGCGATTCCAAAAAAACTTGTTTAAAACTTTTTATACAAAATCGGCCTGCGATTCGCCGCTTCTGTGCTCGCTATGTTTGACTTCCGCTCGCTTAACGAAAAATTTTGTATGTGAAAATTATTTTCCCATCAGTGCGATGACGGCTACTGTTAGTTATATCGGTAAAAGTACCATTCACGTGCATAAAGTAAATTCAGGGTGATTAATCCGGAGTATCTCAGCACCGTTGCCACTTGAATATTTTTTTTTTGTGTGTGAAAGTTAACCAAATTCATCGACTTAGAAAAAAATTAAACCAGATTATAATGGGATGGTCTTAAAAAAAAATTAGATAACTAAGCATTTACTTTACTACTATTTTTCGCCACAACCCGTCGGATACAGAATTCCCCATAAGTATAAGCAATTTAGTGCATATAATTGTAAAGTTATGTAAATACGTTGACAGCGAAATATTCTTCACTTACCTGTATACATCAGCAACGCCAACAATATTAACACCCAATGAGTCATTTTGTTGTTGTTTTTGCCTTAATGAAATTGCCGTTAAGTGGTGATTTTGACGTTATTGTTATGCAAACAAGTCGACAAATTACCGACAATTTCACGCGAATCACTTGTTGTTTAAATTTAATTACGTTCTTTGTTATTATGTACTATGTAGTATATGCACATATGCATGTGCTTACGTAAGTGTGTACTATAATACATATTATTGTACGTTTTATCGATATGTGCGTTTGTTACGAAAGTAAAACAACGATTGCGAATTGCGCTGTCTATTTTTAATATGAAAATACTAAATTAACGCAAGTTGTTAAATAAAAAACTGGGCTAATGGAAAATTATTTTTCAGTTACATTCAAATTTGTGCAAATTGATTGAAAGTAAATACACAAAAAAGTGCGCCATAAAAAAAGCAGACGAGTAATTTTATTTGACTTTTTGCCACGAGATAAATGCATTTCCGGCGTCCATGGTATTGATCAACAAGCACGAGCATGTATGCGCCAACATACATACATACATAAGTCAATTAACGCGCAAAGAAAATTACTCAGAAAATACACAGAATGAGGCGAGTAATCACTTTGTCAGAGGATTGACGTTGCGTTGTTATTTGTAACGTGTTGACTATAATTGTTATTGTTGTATTGTGATAAAACTGCTTATCGCGCCTGAAATGCCTTTAATTAAACGACTATTCG